GGATCGAGCCCCGCATTGGGCTCCCTGCTCTGCGGGAGGCCTGCTTCTCCCTCTCCCACTCCCCCTGCTTGTGTTCCTGCTCTCCCTATCTCTCTGTCAAATAAATAAAATCTTTAAAATAAAAAATACAACAATATGAAGGATAAACAAAACAGATCTGTAGCCAGATACTTTTATGATCCATCCGTTTTCTCTTCCTGCTACAGAGGACCTCAGATCATGAGTAGGTCCCATATTTCAGGGTCTGAATCTCAATCATGGAGGACCAGAAATCGGATGCCCACCTTCTCAGAGACTGGTAGTTCACCTAGTCCACGTGTCACTGAGGTACTAACCAGATGTCAACATAATAAATGACACAGGGAAATACAAGGACTGGTGGTTGAATTTGCATTCCCCTTCCAGTAGGAAGAAACTAGACAATCACTTTTTTAATCAGAAGATTGCTTAGATATCATGGAACAAAAACATTAAATGGTATAGAATGTTTAGGCAAAGGATATTTCCATAAAACTCTAGGCAAGCCTGATGGAATACCCCACCTAAAAGAGACTGTGTCTCCATTTGTTCATCCATCTTTGTCTTCCTTTAAGTATTCAACAAATATTCATCGAGCATGTGCCAGGCCCTGCTAGGCACTCTGGATACAATGGTGAGCAAGAGTTTCTGCTCTCACAGAGCTTCTAGTCTAGTGAACAGACTGATCACACCCTCAAGAGCTAGTGTAGGTCTCCCTCTTGGAAGTATGTGTCTCATCTCTCTTGGATAGGGGCAATGGGGAAAACATGAGTTTTGTTGCTAAACAGATTTGAGATCCAGTTCTTACCCTGCACCATCACTGGGGCCACCTGAGTCCCACCTGCATGCTCAATGCCACACTCCATTCCTTGGGCTGAGAGTAACCTGAATCAGGAGATAGTTAAGCCTCCTGATAGAAACACTGGATCAGGCCAGGCAACAACTTGTACCACTGGTTATGTTACCCCTGGTGTGGTTTCTAACACTAATGACCATGCTCTTACTTCCCAATTCCTAGCCTGAGTCACCTAATTCTTGTTAAGAGGTCTCTGCATTCCTTTCTCTTCCTGTTCTGTAAACCATAGACACTACAGTGGTTCCCCAGGGCTTGGGTTCTGACTCAGTCTTGCCAGGCACGTGGGGCCCCTGCTGGCTATCTTTTAAGACCCCCCTTGAGGTGAATGCCTGCCTTTCTCTACTTCTAAGCCTCCCCTCATGCCCCTTCTTCCTGTCCCCCAGATTCCATATCACTGAGATTTCCCCCTAGGTTTGTGCCCTTCCACCCCGACTCCTGCCAAAAGCACTAGTTCTTAATGCTGTCTCCAGGACAGAGCTAAATCTGCCTGCCAATTTGAACCATCTTCATCTGCACGTGGGTCAGTCCTCTGGGATCCTATTCTGCTGCAGCGGTAAGGCTGGATCTCAGACCTAACCATTCCATGCCTTAGGATGACTGAGGATGAAAAGAACACAAGGTAACAATGGATGCCCAGGAGTGACCTCTGCTTCATTCAGCGATGACCATGGCAAGGATGGCAACTATGACTCCATGTGCATAGCAGATGATGAATAGTAAATGCTGAATGAGGGTTATGTTCAGTCACGGTGCCATGTCACTCTGTCTGCTCTCAATCTTTGAGTTCTTGCTCTCAAAAAATACAACATTGTTATATATATTTTTTACACACCCACCCGGATACTTGAAAGTACTCCTCCCTAGTGTTTAGCCTGTTCTCACGAGTAAGAAGACATTTACAAACGTCTTTTAGTTGGCTTACTGAAGAAAGGCCTACAGCAGTGCACCCCCTCCCATATCTTAACAATACTCAACTAGATGCAGGCAAGATCACGGAGCTGAAATACCTTGGTTTTAACAAAGCATTCAGCCAAATCTTTTCTGATACTTGCGTGGATAAATTGGTAAGTATGACTTGAACAAAATCAATTGGTTGAATCTAAGAGCCCAAAGAGTGTTGACTATATTGGTGCAAACTTGAAAGATCTTTATCATTTTACATCTTTAAAATGAATGGGATGGGGTTGCCTGGCTGGCTTAGTTGGTAGAGTGTGCAACTCCTGACCCCAGGGTTGTGAATTTAAGCCCCACGTGTGGTGTGTTTACTTAAAATATTAAAAAAAAAAAAGGGGGGGATAGAGCAGTGTTTCCCAATATTTGATGATTTTTGGTTGTGCATGAGGATTTTAAAAACATTAATGTATATTAAAAGTATATATTTCCCCACATCCCTAATTTCATATTGTTTAAAAATTGAGGCAATTCAAAAAAGAATATTTTAATAAATTAATATAGTGCTCTTTGGATGATTTTGCTGCGTAATGTGATAGTGAATCAGTAAGTCATGCCTATATAGCTATTAAAGAACTGGCCTCCTGCCGTCCTGTGGGGCAGGAGACACCTTGGGAATCAGCAATGTCTGGTGCCAAATTAAACCCTACAGAGCTCCTTCAGCATATGGCTCGGGACCCTACCCAAAAAGTGAGCCTTATGTAACTGTGGTGACTGCAGATCAGCAGTGGACTACAGTGGGTCAGGAGGATGGGCTTCAGAATAAGAATAATGAAGATGGGGAAATGGATCTACTCCAGCATTAGACATCTGAACTAGTGAAATTAAATGCAATATAAATGCCTGTAGCTTTAACAAGTAAAATGAGCCTGTTCCCAACCATCACCAGTTAAGTCCATGCTCAGGCTATTGAAACTCTCCTCACATCTGGGACTTACTGAACCACATGGGCTATCACATTTCTCATTGAGGAGTCACTTTCCATTCTAAACCACCTTTTTTGCTCACTGTAACATACACATTCAACCCAAACTGGGACAGCCATTCCAACCTGGGATGGTGATTTTGATCAGATTTGCAAATGTCTTGGTGGCAATCATTAATAGATGTGATTACTCTCATCAGCACAGACCTGAATCCAAACCAACTTTTACAGTAAGATAATGTGCTTTTTCAAAAACTAGGTTTTCCTTCTTTGCTGTGATTTTAACCACCTTGAAACAGACATTTCCTTGGGTTCTCATCTCCACTGCTTTCCTCTCTACTATTCCTGAGTTCAGGAGGAAAAGGGCTAGGCAAATTTAGTTCCGACCCACCTCACCCCTCCTTTCTCTAAGCCATCACAACTTTGTGAAGTTTATCTCTGGGAAGAACTTAAGCGTTTCCATCCACCCACCCACCCACCCTATTACCTTCCAAGAAGTTATGGTCCGGAACAGTGAAGGCTTTCTTCCCACCTTACCCCAAACCCAGTAATCACATGACTACAAATTCCAATGTTTTTACTCGTGGTTATTGTGATGACAGGGCTCATGTTTGGCAAGGGTGAAGCATGGAAGCTTTTCTTACAAATATTTTGTCCATATTCCTTCAAACTGCCCCAGTTTCATGTAATTTTAGCTGAGCTAAACTTGCAAAACACCAAAGCACATAATATATTGTATTTAGTTTCATAACCAGTAATTGACCGTGACTTCTGGCAGTAACCAGTCCACCAACCCAAGTAACCCAATATTTAAGTCCCAACTAGCTACTCTAAGGGGTTAGGGAAGCACATACACAAAAATACGGCTATGACTGATACCCTGATGACTCACATAAGTGAGATATGTCTAACTGCACATAACACATGCTTCAAAAGACAGGCCAACAAAGCCTAAGCTTTTTATTTCACCAACTAGTATTTCTGATTCTCTGATGCTGTACTTTAAAATCTTCAGAGTCCACAAAAACAGCATTCAGACTTCCTATATCCAGAGAAAGGGGTCCAGAAGCCAGCAAAGGTCAGGCCCCAAGCTGTTTTCCGGAGAGAAACATGGCAGACATTTCTCTGTGAGTCTATGTCAGTTTTTAACTTAACTGAAATGCCTTTACGCTCTCCACCATCCCCCAACCTTTTTCCACGGGATCTGTAACAGGAAAACACTCATCTTTCATGTATACAATTCCATGGGGTGAGCGGTGGGGGGGGAGCGTTATACAGGCACCAGCCAAAATTTTATTCAGCCAGAAAATGGATTTTTGACTCAGTTTAATGGCAAAGAGATTTGCAAAACCACGAGGAGTGTCCTGGCTTTTCCTCGAGGTGAGCTGGGCGGGATTTTTGTGAATGGAAGCATTGCCATAAGAAAGGCAGATTAAGTTCTATAAAAAATAAAGTTGCTCCTATCTCCATGAGTAGTATATAAGCTGCTTCCAGGAATCCAGGGATGCCCACATCCCACACCTCATCCAGTCATGGCACAGCTACATGGGAAGCATAAAACCCTTTTGTAAACTTTTTTTTTTTTTTTTTGGTGGGGGGAGGGCTTGGGAAAGAAAGATGTAAGATGAATTTTTTTAATGCCCTCCCACCACCAAAAACTATGTATCTACACACACACTAAGACACACATACATATCCAATTTTAAGAAAGTTTTTCTTCCCTATGACTACAGGATCCCAAAATCCAGCCTCCCTCAGGCTGAGACAATGCCTATTAACTGCCCAGATCTGGTGTACCAACATACTGTATAAGGCTCCTGTGTGGTCTCACAGACGGAGAGGGCAGGGGCAGAGGGAGTGGATACTCATGGGGGATTTGCTTTTTGTCTTAAATCCACTCTACTCGGCCACACTCTTAGGTCCAAGGGCTGGGAGAGGCTCTGTAGGCAGGATGTGGTGGATGACCTGATGGTCCCAGCCCACTGTGGTAAGGAGAGAGTGATTGAGCGGGGACCAAGTAGCATCTCTCACAAAGTCTCTGTGGGCTCGGCTTCTAAACCTAGAAAAGAAAAAAGGTAAGTTAGGGCGTGGTGAGAGACAAGACTTGGAGAAGAGAGAGAATCCAACACAACCAGGGCACCTTTGTGGATGTGTGACACAAACTTCACCGTATGTGTGGCCTTGTCACCACGGTAGCAGTGTAGTTATCCACAGAGAACTTCATCAATCATTCAATCCAGTGCCCCCATTTCATAAAGTAATGGTGGCTAGAGCAAGGGTCATAATACGGGCCAGGATCAGAGAGCAAATCATGGCTCTCTCAGCGAGAAGGAAGTATTAATTCCAGTACTGTGTTTGCTGCCTTTCACCCCAAGCAGGTCGCATTTCACGTATGTGTTCTTTATGTGAAAGGGGTAGACTGTCCCTTTCTGGAGACAGCTGCAACACCAGACATGGAAATCCCACCTACCACCACACTTGGAAATCCCACCTACCACCACAGCCCCCCTTTACCAGGGACAGAGTTGGCTGTGAGTCACCCCCAGGAACAGGGAGAGTCAGTGTCAGCCTGCTCCCACCGCCCAGTCCCCTTGAGTGAGACCATGCACTTTGATGAAGACAGAAAGGACCCAGCCACCCGCAGCTCTTCTCCCCAATTCCTCATCAGAGGACCCCATTTCACACTTACACCTCAGAAAGGCCTGAGTCCAGCACAGCAAGTGAGCAGTCCTCACTGACAGAGGCCAGGAACGGGGTGCTAGGAGAGCAAGGGGAGGGTTGGGACAGGTAAAGCCATGGTCCCAAGATGAATCCTGCCTGGTCTAGCCCCCGCCCCCCACCCTAAAGTGACCCAGAGGAGGTGGCCTGGTCCCCACGTCAGGTTAAGGTCTGGCTACCACTCAAGTCCACATTACAAGTTCCAGGGAAAGAGGAGGGAAATGGAGTAAGCCAGGGTGGACAATCATCCTGGCAACCGACTACTCCATCTGGTCCCTCCCTGCAGCTTTAGCAAGAACCCAGAAGCTTTCCCAACTACACAGTCTCAGAAGCCCACAATATTAATCATTCTGGGTGTTGAGCAGGAGCAGGACCTTATTTTAGCCCTGTGCAGACAGAAAACCATACTACCCAAAAAAGGACTATGGTCTTCAGAGATCATTAGAGTTCTGAAGCTTCAGCTAGACCACTGTCTGCTTTAAGGAATGACCTAATCAGCTAATGCTCTGCAAACATAAGCATGCCCCAGCACTGTCCCATTCATACCCATCAGGCCCCTGGGGACAAAGGACAGTACCTGTGTGGGGAGAACACCAGGTCAGTGACACACTGGGAGTGCACAGCTGAGCTGAGGGCACACCTTGCACTCTTGGTGTCCACAAGGGAGATGGTCCCACTCTCGTCCCCTAGAGAAAAGAGGAAGCCCATCACAGTGGATAAGAACATGGGCCCTGGAGTCAGCCAGACCTGGATTTGAATGCTAGCTCCTCAACCTTTTACGAGCTAACCACTCTGAGCATCAGTTTCTTCTTTTGTCAAATAGCGTAATTAGTCACTGGTGGTTGTGAAAATTAATGAACAAGGCAGTTATTACTTTAACCACAAACTATGTCACCACATGTAGAGCCTCATGGCTATGAGAGCACAGGAGCTATCCCTACTCGACAACAGAATTCCCTATATAGCAATCCACTTGTTTTGTGGTACACTGACTTCTGCCCATGCCCAGAATAGAGGAGCTGGAGCACACAGTCAGGAATCAAATCTAAAAAGTCATCATGTTTTCCAAAGCCAAACTAAAACCACTTTTGGATCATCCCACCTTCCCACTGGCATAATTCACGTAATGCCCAAGCCTGCCGCTGAGACTGAGTAGCTTGAGCCTTGTGCATTACAGGGTCAGCGTGCTCTCATCCTCCCCCTTCCCAGAGTCAAAATGCTGTGGGACAGGTTGCCTTACCAAAGACAAAGACTTCACTCTGCTGAGGATGCCAAGCCAGGGAGGTAGGAAGGTAGCCTGAGGCAGTGCAGCCTGCAGAGAGAAGAGGGATCCGAAACAAGACTCAGAGCCCAGCTCTGTGAAGAAGCTTCTCAAACAAAGTCACTCCAAGTCCCAGAAGCACCTTTATTCGCCTTCCCAAACCCTGCTAAGGCAGTTGTGTCCTTGCCCTTGACCCTCATACCCTTATTTATCCTTCGGCCTCCTGCCCTTTCTGGACACGAGTCATAGGCAGATTTCAGACATAAAGCATGAAGGCAACAATTCTGGCCCCTTTGTCCATCCTTCCCAGAAATGTAAAGTAAATCAGCCACCCACGAACCAACCCTTCCTCTTGGTACCCACGGCACAAAATGGAATCAACAGAGCCTCAGTGGGGAAAAAAGTGATTATGTCCCTTATGTCACACTGACGGAGCATCTGATGACTTTGCCTCTGTCTCTGGCCAAGGAAGCCTCTTCCAGGTGGGTTCCTAGTACCACCCTCCCACCACTGGCTCTCAGACTCACCCATCTGTGATGCTGGCTTGGGACAGCGGGTATCCCAGAGTAAAATTCTGTTGTCCTAGAAGAAGGAACAGCAAAAGAGCTTCACAGTCCAAAAAGCGGCTGCTGGCCAAGTCTCCACACTAGACTTGTGGCCAGAGGGTTGGAATGTGGTTAGGAAGTGGGGAGGGAAGGAAAGGCTGTATCTCACCTCACTGCATGAAAGGAACACGGAATCCTTGTGCAGGGAGGCTGTGACACAGGTGACCTGCCCGGAGTGAGCTGTGAAGGAGAGAAAAGGAAGTATGACAGAGAAGAAGCCGGGGGCATTACCACCACGCAGCCCAATACTACCAAGGGAGGTTTGAGAAACGGGCCTTATCTCATGACGCAATTTAACAAACTTTGTGAGAGATTTTGGATTAGACAAAACCTAAGAGAAAATGTCGATGGAGTTCTAAAACCTGGAAAGGCTTGGGGAAGAAAATGAATTAGTAAAGACAAGGAAAGAAAAAGTAGGGGCTGAGCAAGAGTGAAGGGATTTACATCCCAGAACAGGAATTTTCATACGACAGTACACACACACCTCCAGATAACATACAGACACTTTCAAGGGAGGTCTGCACACTGATACATTTCGGGAAATAAACTTTTCCAAAGTTCTCTTTCCTGAAATTGAACTGAGAAGCTGCCAGAATTCAGTTCAAAGTGCCCCTTTCCTGCCTCCGCTTTCACATTCCTCTTCTCCCAGTTGTAGAAGGGACGTGCACCTCTCACCCACCCCACATCGCACCATGGTATGGTGCACAATGCCCAGGTGTATGAAACCCTAAGGTATTAAACCAAAGGGGCTTTTCCCTAAGAGCCAAAGAGCAAAAGAAAGAGCATCTGGGTAAAATTCAGTGCAGGGGCTGGCCTTGTTTCATCCTACCACAAACCACAACATACCACAAGCGCTAGAGTGATTCTGGGACTTATCTCCGCCGAGCAATGAAAATTTTGAAAACTATGGGAGTTGGTTGTCATAAGGACACATCTGACAAGTTGAACTGAACTTAAAAATGAAGTCAGACTTTTTCTAATAGAAAGTTAAGTCTAACTTGACCAGCTGGCTTAACAATGCAGGGTTAGTTTTTAGCCAGTTAGGTTATTTGGTAGACACTTTTCAGAGATTAAAGGGGCTTACTCTGCAAATCCAGTGCACAATAATGATATGGCCAGAAAGTACCTCCTTTGCAACTATTTAAACTTAAGTTAGATGCCAATTTAAAAATGTGTGAGAAGGTAGTTTTTTGAAAATTTTTCAGGAGGCCTACATGCTAAAAACTTTAAAGATCACTGGTCTATGTTAATTACAGGCTGTGGAAACCACATATTCTGAAGACATTTACCCAGACTACCTGAGATAGTCCAAATATGGCTCTGCCCAAGACAGGAGGATGTAATCAAACCACCTTTTATAGTTCTTTCCTAGCCCTAGAATCCATGGAAAGCCAACACAATGAAAAGGATGATTGTGCACTTGAAAGCAAAGCTCAGAGACAAGTACCGAGGGAAAACACAAAAGATAAAGTAGTTCCTCTGCCCTCAAGGGATCTGCAATTCAGTGGGGGAATAAGACAGAATACAAAGAACTAATGAAAAAAGATGAACGGAGGAAATGCTGAAAGAGTTAGGGCAGACCAGGAACACCCTTCATAGGCCTAAGAAACAAAAGGCATGTGTAGTAGACTCCACATTGGCATTTTAACATTGTTGGACCATTTACAAGTCTTGAACACTGAAGGTCCGAGATCTTTAGGAGTTTGTGATTTCTGCTTTGGCACGTATGTGAACCATACACTTTGCAGTTAGAATTGGCAGGGGATGGCACTTAGCCATTGAGTGAACCAGGTGATCATCCAACATCTACATCTCTTAGCCACACAATAAATGCTCCAGGTATTATCTTCATGAAGAATGGCTCCCAGAATAAAGTCAGCTGCTACTGCTATTAATAAAAATGAGTTAAAAAAAAAAATAACATTAATAGAAAGTGATGGCTCTCACCAGAAAAACAGAAATTTTATGGAGGTGAATATTCAAAAGTTCAAGATTCACAAGTCTCAGGGTTATTCTTGGAGAATGTCAAGGATCTACTATGACTGGTTTTAATTAGAGCAGTATGTTTGAAGGGGGAGTGAAAGAAGGGCTTGAATGCCATGACAAGAAAATGGGATATTAACCCACAAGCCACACAAACCACGAAAGATGAGGGACTGCAGATGGACAGATGAGGTGGGCGCCACCATCTGTGTGAAGTAAAACCTGAAAGCAAAAGGGAGCATCAGAAACGGAAAGGGAAATCCCTGACCAAGTGGAAAAGACTCCAAAGAACTCTGGGACCCACTGATAGTGAGGAAGCAGGAGGGGTGGAAAAGGACTGAGAGCTGGAGTCTCATGTGGCCAAGAAGATGGTGAGGCCAATACTGGAAATAGGGAAATTAAGAAAAGGCAACGGATAGATATTGGGGCCTGACTATAGTTTTGGAAGAAAACTATCAGGCAGAAGGGCAAGGAACTGCTGCCCCTGATATCCAAAGTTCAAAGAGCCCAAGGGGAGAATAAAAACAATACAGCTAAGGCCAGGACTAAAAAGAATGTGCACTCACCCCGGTATGAACTCAGTACCATCTGCTGGGCAAGGTCCCAAACCTTGATGCTAAGAAGCAAAAGAAAACAGATCCTTAATTCTGACCTACAGTATCTACATAAAAACATGTGTTCCAACAAGAACTTCCTTTAACTGATTTCATTGCTCTATGTCATTGCCTACTGGGCTTCTGCTAGGGCCTATTCACAATGGATTGTAATCTCTCTACAGAAATGTTATAGACATGTCATAATTAATCACTGCATTCTTACAACACGCCCAAAACATTACTCGATGAGGCTAATAGGATAGTAAAGACACCCAAAAGAGATCTCAAATGCAGGACTGGGGCGCCTGGGTGGCTCAGTCAGTTAAGCGTCTGCCTTCGGCTCAGGTCATAATCCTGGAGTCCTGGGATGGAGTCCCGTATCAGGCTCCCTGCTCAGTGGGGAGTCTGTTTCTCCTTCTACCCTTAACCCTGCTTGTGCTCTCTCGCGCGCACTCTTTCTCTCTTTCA